GTTTTATCAAAGTGAATTTTCCTCTGAAGGCATATATATCTCTATATATATAAAAGTCAATGTATGTATATATATATTCCATCTATATATATATATATGTTTGTCGGCTATGCACGTCCTCAATACCTAACCTATTTTATTTTATATGAAAATATTTTATCTTTTGAGTACAACAATGGAGTAATCTCATTTTTAGTTGTAAAAAAACTACATTTCTCTATTTTAAATATAACCATCCATATATTTCTATAAATATATATTATGAATTTATATCATTTAAATTACAATGATAGCTATTTTTTTCAAATCTTTACTTAGTAAATGAAACAAAATTGATTTTTAAAAACTCTAATTCACATATCAAAGGATTTTTTTAGAAAAAATGTTCATTGATATATCGTAATATTTTATTGAAATTTGACCATGGTAAAACCCAGTCCATTGGCAAAACCAACAAATAAATGCAATTAATTATCTCTCTCCCTATCTTGTATGATAAAATAAGAAATAAAATAATATAATTGATCTCAAAATTTAATAATAAAAGAATATTTAATAAGAATTTAATATGAATTAAAATATCCTTTGAAAAAGATCTGAGGAAGTCTGATAACAAATTTCAATGAAATTCAATATTTAATGATAGCCAGAAAATACTGGCGCAAATTTAGAAGGAAGAAAGAAGCAATACAAATATTTCAAGACAATTTTACAAACTATTTTGTGAATTTAAATACCAATATGTTGAAGAATGCAGGTAAGAATTCTTATCATCACCCTGACAATCATACTGAATACATTTCAATTAAACCAGATGAATTCAGCTCTTGTATCTATCTCAGATGCTAACACTGGTGTCCCCTCTCTATTGATGAGGGCCAAAGGCTCCTTGTAAGATGGACAGACCAAGATGATTCTCCTTCTTGATCACCAAACTTTGATACACCATCAGCCAGCCAGATTGGATAAATATCACGTGATGTGAACTGGCCCAACTGATTGGTTGAATTGATATAAATCAATTTGACGCCAGTCGAGCCTCTTTTAGCCCAATCGTAATATTGTAACGTAGAGAATTAGGAAAGACAAACATCAGAATGACACAGCAATTTATTTAAGGTAAAAACAAAATCAACATTTATAAGATACAAGATAAGCAATGAGGGAAGTTTCCAGAGTAGAAAAATATAAATAATATAAATATCTAAAACTGGACACGGTAACTTTAGATCATATTTGTACAATGTCAGAAAGACGGATTCGCCTAAATGCTCATGTGGTGCAGAAGAAGAAAATCCTGTACATATTCTAACGGACTGTCGACTTGTAGAGGACTTGAGAGTTAAAATCAAATAAATATAAATAGTTTAAATCAAATAGTTAATAATAGATATATGTATATAAATTTTAATAGATTTTGTATAATGTTTTTTAGTAATAGATAGCCTGGGCTGTAATAACTGGTATATAGTTATATGCTGTAAATAGCTCTAAATTTCTGTTCTTATTTGTGATGTTCACTAATATTAATTAAAGGGTAAATAAATCGTTAACTAATTCACAAATACGTTAATAATTTCTATTTATAATAACTAAAATCATATTAATAATTACTGTAAATAAGCTCCCAAACTTATGTATGCATGCAAATATCCAAGACGGATATCGCGTGCTTTGTAAATGATAATAAAATAAAACATGTATATAAAATATAATAAATACTTTGATACAATATTCTTTAAGAAATCTGCTCCACATATATATTCACTAAATTTATCTAATTTTGACCATGACATATGCTGAGATAGCAACAAGTATCAAGATAGTTTAACCTCTAACTCATCCCAAAATATTTACGAGAGGAAAAGCTCCATAACTCAGTCAAGTGGATTTAAATTGTAACGGAGTACCATTCTGATGGTTAAACAACAAAATAATTAAAAGTTTATAAAATTACTATGAAAAAAAGTGCGTTTAATCTAAGAGTATAGAATAAACAATGTACTAAATGTATCAAACCCCTTTGATCTAATTTCAACAAAAGACAAATACATAAAATTTAACTCATTTTGCAGATTTATTTTGAATTTTATAAAAAAAAAACTACTAAATTCCATTAGAACGCTTTTATTTAGAAATAATTTTGTTTAGCATAATTTTGTATTGTGAATAATTCTCTAATATCTTGCATATTTTCATTCTAAAATATTCCTTAAAACTTTCTTCAATCTGTCAATTGTTTTCCTTGAATACACTACTTTACAATTGATTTCATTTAACTAAATTTGCATACCAACCCTTTGTACATATTTCAATTGTGTTGTTATTTTTTCTCTTTTCGTCTAACTAAATGCGTGCTTCTGTAATAATAAAATAAAATCTAACTTAAAATTGCATACTAATTCTTGTACATATTTCAAATATCTTTCTTTCTTTCCTTTCAATGTTTAATTTACCTTTGTAGTGCAAGTGTCCCTATAGGGGGACATAGCGCTCTAAGTCGAAATAAAATCTAAGCTAGATATTATATACTAGACGAATGGCCCGGGCAACGCCCGGGTTTTACCCGAGTGCGTATATATTTTAAAAACGTTTTAATTCAAATACTATTCGTTACAATTATAAATTGGCGCCATGGATGTCACTCTTGTGAAACGTCCCGTTCCAAACTGTGTGTTTTTAAAATGTTTTAATTAAAATACTATTCGTTACAATTATAAATTGGCGCCGTGGATGTCTCTCTTGTGAAACGTCCCGCCCCAAACTGTGTGTGTCTTGAAAATATAAAAATAAAAATGTGAATTTTCATAAAGATTTCATCATGTCGATTTTTTATTTTTGCATTTCACCTATTAAATCGATAGAGATAATTACATTTGCAACATGAACTTAGGTATATTGACTAAATAGAAAACTGCATAGTAATAAAGATCATTTTTAAAGGCACCATATCGTTTTTTTTTTCAATAAAATCGAAACAAAAATTAACGATAAATAACGATAATTGCCTTAAAAAGAAATTGCCTTAAAAAAAAAGAAACATTCGCGGTGATTTTGTCTTGCATTCGTTTATACAATTATTATATACGAATGACCCGGGCAACGCCCGGGTTTTACCCGATTAAATGCTTTTATTCAAATACTATTCATTACAATTATAAATTGGCGCCGTGGATGTCATTCTTGTATAATATATAAATGAGTTTTAAAAATTGTAAAAAAAAAAAAAATGCATCGGCCGGAATCGAACCCGGGCCGCCCGCGTGGCAGGCGAGCATTCTACCACTGAACCACCGATGGTTATGAAAATTCCCATTCCGTGAGCTTCAGACAAACAAACAGACAGAATAAGGCAAATATATAAGTAGATACGAATGACCCGGGCAACGCCCGGGTTTTACCCGATTAACAGAGAAACATTCATTCGAGCAGAATGAATATTCGTAACGAATATTATTTGAATAAAAACATTTAATCGGGTATAACCCGGGCGTTGCCCGGGTCATTCGTCTAGTTATATATATAAAAGTCAATTTCTGTCTGTCTGTCTGTTTCGCGATAAACTCAAAAACTACTGAACCAATTGGTACCAAATTTTGCATGTCGCTTTTTATAAATCTGAGGAAAATTTGCGGCTGCATTTTGATTAATATTTTTGGCTATCTCTTTTTTTCATTTGAAAAACTTTTTTTTACGCGGACTATTCCGGAATGGAATGAATACCTAAATATGGCCATTTTTTTTAAGCATCGGTGGTTTAGTGGTAGAATGCTCGCCAGCCACGCGGGCGGCCAGGGTTCGATTCCCGGCCGATGCATTTTTTTTTACAAATTTTAAAACTCATTTATACTAAATCTCTAACAACATATATAGTCACGACCGTCTTTCCTCAATTCCTCATCGCTGTCAGGGATGCGCGCGCATCATCATTATGATCATTATCTAATGATAATAATAATAATTATTATTATTATATTATTATTATTATCTTATTATCAACATATATAGTCACGACCGTCTTTCCTCAATTCCTCATCGCTGTCACGGATGAGCGCGCATCATCATTATGATCATTATCTTCTATAGAAGCTTCTATCTTTATAATTATGTATATTTACAAAAAGTCAATTCGCTCGCGTCTCTAGCGGTGAAAATGAGGGGTAATACCAGCTGACCTAATGTACATGTAAAGTTTGGAGCGGGACGTTTCACAAGAGTGACATCCACGGCTCCAATTTATAATTGTAACAAATAGTATTTGAATAAAAACATTCAATCGGGTAAAACACGGGCGTTGCCCGGGTCATTCGTCTAGTATATATATATAATAATAGAGTATTTGTTCAAAATCTTAATTTATTAGTTAGGTTTGAGTACATTTTGTGTAGAATTAGGATTAGTTGACTTTATAAGGTAAACTTATTCATCGGTTTGTATCCCTCGATAGCTCAGTTGGCAGACCGAGGACTGTAGATGTAATTAAGCGGTGATCCTTGGGTCGCTGGTTCAAATCCGGCTCGAGGGAGTTTTTTTTTTGGTATATGCGCGCGCATCCGTGACAGAGGCCGATGAGGAAAGACGGTCGTGACTATATATATTAATGTGGTGATATTTGAGAGTATTCATGATAGTTGTGGCAAGTAGTAAAGATAGGAGGCAGGATCCGGGAACAAAAGCCTGTGAGGAGTAGATCAATGAGGAAAAAGAAGGTCCGAGGACCGCCACAATGGCGTGGAGGCCACTTCAGTGAAAACTGTCCTTTGATCATCCTCAATCCAGGTGCTCTTTCAATCTATTCTCAATAGGTTAAAATATTGCTCGCAGAGGGAGAACGGAGTGCTGATCCCCCGAGATTTTAGAAGTCAGGACATGTGGTCGACCTGGGGTGTGACCAGACCAGCCAACTTTCTCCTTCTTATACATCCACTCGTATTTCTGTACAAGTGATATAATTTAACATTTAAAATATACAAGTATCAGAGTCATCAACAATTCTGTCACCGTTTGCTTTTGGTTCAGTGGTAGAATGCTGGCCTGCCAGGCGGGCGGCCCGAGTTTGATTCCCGGCCGATGGATTTTTTTTTTTACAATTTTTAAAACTCTCATTTATATTATTAAAAATATATGTGCTTTTCCTGTCTATGTACAGATTTATGGTCTATGTACACAAGTATACAAGTATGTATACAAGTTATTTGCAAATTGCGTTGCAAATTTGCCCTTTCGCTCGCAAGCAGCGCCTCTCGCGGTGAGATGGGAGTTAATATCAGCTGACCTAATGGACATGTAAAACGTGTTTTAACAGTACATAGAGAAAAATCTGGAAAAGATATTTTTCGGATTTTTAGTCAAGAAAAATAAATTGACAGGTTTTGGGAAAAAAGTAGTTGTTTTTTATTCAGGAGATGATCATGACAATATTGCTGTATCATATTTGATTATCAGATACAAAATTATATCCGGAAAAATTCCAAAAAGCAGAGACCACGGGTGAAGCCAGTTCATTTTTAGTATGCAGGAACAAAATTCTAACAGAAAAACATTCATTCGAGCAGAAGACACAAAGCCAGATCATCTCTTTATAAAAATATCGCTTCTCAGACACAAAGTTTGGAGCGGGACGTTTCACAAGAATGACATCCACGGCGCCAATTTATAATTGTAACGAATAGTATTTGAATAAAAACATTTAATCGGGTAAAACCCGGGCGTTGCCCGGGTCATTCGGCTAGTATTACCTATATATTATAACGTATATATTATCCAATACCTTTTTGGTTTATTTGTGAACATTTGTAGAAGGTTTTTGAAAGGTTTTATAAATATTCAAAAGTTATATTTTAAAAATATAAAAAATATCCTTTAAAAAATATATTTGAATATCACAGAGTATTTTTGAGATTAAATTTTATTCTTACTCTCGCGTTCAAAATGCTTAGTATTGTTGGGGTTATTTAGGCACACACATACAGACAAATTATTGGTTGAATTATTTTTCAATTTTTGAATTACGTTTTGGCGAGTTTTTAAAAATTGTTACGACCTAAATTAAAAAAAAAACTATATTTTATCTAACCTCATATAAATAATGGATTTTAGAAAAATATTAAAATCTTTAACAAATTCTTTTGAGAAACATGTTTCCATGCCTTTCTGGAAAATATTTAACAACAAAACTGAAAATACCAATATTGTATTAGGAACTAGTATCCCTTCTACTGAAGCTATCTCTGAAGTACCAGGTTTTACCCTGAAGATAGTTCCTGAAAATAAAAAGAAGCCGGCATCGATTATAAGTCCAAATTTTGACTCAACCAAAGAGAATACAGCCTCTAAATGTATGCAGATATATGAAACTGATGATAATCCTTTAGAAAGGTTATTTATTAGATGCAATGTTAATAATCATCCTATCATAGCTTTTATAGATACGGGAGCACAGAACAACGTAATGGGACATAAAGGTGCAAATTATTTAGGTCTAGGAGAACTTGTTGATGTCTCATGGACGTACAACATCATAGGCCAATTAGGGAATGAATGTAGCTTTGGATATATACATTTGACGCATTTACAGATTGAAGATCAATGTATTCCATCTTCGTTTATTATCAGACGAAATTATGATTATTGGTTTCTTCTTGGCCTACCGACAATTAGAATGCTCAACCTAGATATCAACATCGAGAAAAAGGCTCTTGTTAACACCAAAACTGGGACTGAGATTCCATTCTTATCAGAAGATGAAATTAAAAGCTATTTAACTCAATTAAAAAATGCCGTAGAAACACAACATCTGAAAATAATAAAAAATAAAAGAATTCATCAAGAAACTCGTATTATAAATAATATTAGAGCCAATAAAAATTTTGCTTTGAAACATCATCCAGAATTATATAAAAAACACGATATTGTTGAAATCATGGTTAAGTTTAATGGACATCCTGTGAGGGCCATTGTAGATACTGGATCGATAAACTCGCATATATCGAGAGAATTTGCAGATCGCTGTGGCTTTTCGGGAATAAAAGGCGATGGTGAATTTTTTTCGGTTATTGTGAGAATAGGAAAGGACCTTGTGATAGCACCTTTCTGTATCCTTGAAAATCTGTGTTCTGATCTTATTATTGGGATGGATATCATTTTTAAATGTAAATTCTACTTTTCTTTCAGTCATAACGTTCTAATCAACACAGTCACTGGCTCTGAAATACCGTTCATGACTGAATGCAAGATTTTTGAAGAACAAAAAAAAGTTGTAGATAAGGTTTTGTAATATATATGTAAATATACCTAGAAGTAATTATAAATAAATGCTCTATTATAAAATCATTTAGCTAAGTGAGATTTTAATAGTGTTTATATGAGTGCATTTTACGTGTATAATTACTGTAAATATACAAATTGAGTAGAATATACCATGAAAGAACATGGCGCAAAAGTCATGGTTAAACCTAGTCTCTCCTGGAGGTGGCCTCTTTTCAGAGAACGTTTTTGGTTGGAAAGACTCCTTCAGGAGAGACCTAGTTGAGCCAAGTTTTTGGGTGGTCCCTCATTGGAGATAATTGTAGGATTTTCAAAAATTTTCTTTGTTATTACTTTTTTTTACTTTACTTGGATGTCACTATTTTCAAACTGGCTTTACTTCGAGTATATATTTTAGTAGATAACATTATTGCATTGAATAAACACAGCCATATATGTGTGATTACAGCAATTAATACACTAGAGATGTAGATAATATATATATATCCCCAAACCTGCTTATCTATATATATCTCTATATATGCTAAAGATACTTCCTTCCTTTCCTTTATATATTATGATATTTTATATTCATTTATATATTCTTCCTTTCCTTAACCTTCCTTCCTTATATCTATAAAAATAAAATCCAAAATCTATGTTTGTTATCGCGTTGAGCAAAATCTATAGAATCAATCATTATGGAATTTCGCATGTAGGTAGCTGAAGATTTCGTTTAACATATAGGCTATTCAAAAAATTAAAAAAAGGTTAATGTGCTTTTTTTTTAATGTAAAACCAAAAAGCGTTAGTTCCAGCCTTTTACCGCTAGACGCAGCACTGGTCGCGACGATAAATGAATTTGATTGGTTAATAAAATTTCACTCGTAAGTTGTTTACATGATGAATGTTTTTAAAAGGTAAGATTAAATGTATTGTAACGTTTTTGTTTTAAATGTTAAAATATATTTTTACATTGTTAATTTAATTTGTTGTTGTTTTATAATAATGAAGATACAAATTAAATTGTTGTTGAAGAGAGAAAATAGAGGTAACCCGGGCTCCTGGAGCGTAAATTTGTTGTTGTTGTTTATTATCGTTTGTTTATAAAAAAAAATCATTGTATGTGATGAAAATAACAAAAATGACTTTTTAAATTAATATACAAAATTCATTGAAAAAGAATAGAAACCATAATTTTAAAATTCACAAACGTGAAAAAATATATATTTAAACTCTTTGGAAATAATATTAATCGTTCGTTATCAAATTTATATGCCCCCGGAACCTGGGTTAATTAAAACTCTATTGTGAAATTTCGCACGTAGGTAGCTGAGGTTTTGGTTTAGCATTTAGACTAAAAGTGCAAAATTGCATTTCGAATAACTTTTTTTTCTTTTTTAGAATGTAAAAGATTATTATTTAATTATTCAGTAATATTCGTTAAATTAATTGGAAATATTATATACTAGCGGATGTGTACCCGGCTGCGCCCGGGTTTTTATCCGAGTGAAAGTTTGCCTAACGGATATTATTGATAATAATATTCCGGAACACACAGAATATTATAATAATAATAATAATAATATTCGTTACATTATATTATCCTTTATATCCTTTTCCTTTATATCTATGAAAATGAAATCCAAAATCGATGTTTGTTATCGCGTTGCGCAAAATCTACAGAATCAATCATTATGAAATTTCGCATGTAGGTATCTGAAGATTTCGTTTACCAAATAGGCTATTCAAAAAACTAAAAAGGTAAAGGTGCTTTTCTTTTTAAATGTAAAAACAAAAAATGCTAGTTCCAGCCTTTTACCCCTTGGCGCAGCACTGGTCGCGACGATAAATGAATTTGATTGGTTAATAATTTTACATGTTATTTGTTTACACGATGAATGTTTTTAAAAGGTAAGATTATCCAATCGCCGTGAAACTTTAGGGAGTTATTTACTATACTACTGGGTAGGTTTCTGGTTTAAATTTGATTTGAAATAAATATTCGTTGCAATTTTATTGGAAAATTTTCTACTTTCTCTCGCAAGCAGCGCCTCTCGCGGCATCTGGTGAAATTATATTTATAAATTGTAAAATGCTAAAATGTGTTCCAAGTATAATAAATTTAATATTTAATTTGAGGATTTAGTAGTATAATATACCAATGAACTCTTGTAAAAAACTTGGCATTTCAATATTAATATATTGTCGCGTATAAGGCCTCAAAATGACTACAACCTCCGCCAATAGATGGCGCTTTCGCCTGTTTCCATCTAAAACTGGTGTGGGAATCGCCGACTCTTGTGATCTTGTTTCTTGGGGAAAATGTATGTAAATAGATGTTCATATTGGCCCCAGGAGGTGGCATAATATAAATTCCCGATATAATTCCCGAGTTTTTCCCGATATAATTTTGTATCTGATAATCAAACATGATACAGCAATATTGTCATCATCATTTTCTGACTAAAAAAAACAACTATTTTTGCCCAGAACCTGTCAATTTTATTTTTTATTGGCTAAAAATCCGATAAATATCTTTTCCAGATTTTTCTCTATGTCCTGTCAAAACACGTTTTGCATGTACATTAGGTCAGCTGATATTACCTCCCATCTTCACCGCTAGAGGCGCTGCTTGCGAGCGAAAGGCAAATTTGCAACGCAATTTACAAATAACTCGAAGAATATTCGGGATAGAGACCTGAAATTTTCACTATAAGTTTTTCCAGATTCTACTCTATATACTGTTGAAATTTCAGTCAGATTAGTTACGTATTGTGGACGTGTATAGCCGACATAGATACCCACATGCATACATACATACATACAT